AAATATAATTAAGTTTATTACCAATAAGTGTGTACTATAAATCATGTTAAAATCTGAAGAATTCAGCAGAAAAAAAAAACAAAAAAAACAAAACACAGATTCAGTCTGTGCCTGATTATAAGCAGACCTACAACAACCAACTGCTCAAATTACAGTATCATGGTAACAGTGTCCAAAACTTTTCTGTTTATAAATAAACGAAGAAAGTGTATAAAGAAAGTAAACAAATCTCCTCAGACGGCTGCACACTTCTCTTGAATTCCTATGGCTCAAAAACAGCAACGTCCTAACACACACAGTAGAAAATGTGCTTTTTATTGAAAACATCACTAGACGTTAAGAGAGACGGTTTGCTCATTCTCTGCACGTCAAACGTTAGTCTCTCACAGCAGTGCCTCCACGGCTTTGTTCTTGATTTGTTGTATCTGAAGCCTTGAAAACTCAAAAGTCACACTTGACTTTGTCTTCTTTTCATTGTAGTAAAAACTCCCCCAGAAACACACACACACCCCTAGCAACAGCGCACGTACTGCCAGAATCCCTAGAAGCCTCCCTCAGGAAGCGTTACCAGGGAAAGTCAGAGCAGAAGGGGAGTATCCAACCCAAACAGAGGGTGAGGAGGAGAGACCTGACACCCAAGAGCTTCCACACCACACGCTCATTCAAAAACACAGCTACGAGAGAATAACACGGAGGGTAGACGCAAAATAGCATCTTTTATCACGGCTTTAGAATTTAGCAGGTACTCTGAGAAGTTAACCATCATCCCCAAAACTCAAACGTGCATCTTTATGCCAAGTTACTCGCTAACGAAACCCCTTCTGAACACATCAAAGCCAGTAGTTTTGCTCAAACTGCTTTGCCTGCACACCTTCACAAACCCTCGCTGTTATGCGAAGTCTAAAAATGCACGCTTCCTTCCTGCAGCGCGTGTGTAGTTTCTCTGAAGTTTTTAGGTTTTTTTCATTCATACGCTGCTGCTTTTCTGTTTCTGAACTTCTGTACTGAGAAAAAAAAAAACTCGCGGCGCAGGTGAACACACACTCGCAGCTGCCCCTTCAGCCAAGCTAAACTCTTAGACACTGATTTGAGATGCTGCATCAAAAGAAGCGGAGAGCACAAAGTGTTCTGAACTTGAGAAAAACGTGGGAGTCTGTTACCTTAAAACCTTGCTTTTTTCTGCGGTTTGGAAATATCCTTGCACCCTACCTTGAAAAGGGAACCAAAACATGAGCCGAGGCACATTACTGATGATGCAGCAATGACAACAAGAGCATAAACACACACACAAAGCTGCCATCGCACACACACTCTCCCAGGAGCATCTGTTTGGGACAATAGCCATTAAAAGCCAGTCTGGGATTGTACCTTCTCATTCCTCAGAGGCAGACCCTCAATTTTGGGCAGCATAATCCTAAAAGGTAGCCATCTTGCCTCCCTCGGCTTCAGAAGAATAAGTGGCCGTAGTGGCAGATGCAGCGCGAGCAGCACAGGTTTGCATGATCAGTGCAGAGGAGAGAGGCTTTGGATCGCCGCTGCCGCACACAGCTGACGCATGCCTCTCGCAGACGCAGACAGCACCCCGTCAGCCAATCGCGAAGGGACTCTAGCGGCTTGTAAATGTATCAGCCATGCCTAGACCCTCCTAAACAAAGGATCCCCTATGTGGTTTCTTACTCTACGAGTACGCACGAGGGAGAGCGATAAGCTGCGGTCCGGACACTCACGACACCGGACTGGAGTTCAAAGCCGTCGGGGAGGGAGGGGGAGAGAACAGGAAAAGTGGTCTTCGCAAGCAGGAGCACTATTTTTAGAAGCACACAAAAGCTTCCAAGCACATTACGAGCCATTTTGGTCTTATTATATTAACGGTGCGGTGCACTATGCGAAATAACTAATTATAATAGAATTTTAATAATAATTACAAATAATAATAAATAATGAATGAATAATAATCTAATTAAAATAGAATTGCACCCTATATATTATATATTTTATGTTTATTTAGTTTTTCATTGTATATTTTATCTCTAATCATCTTATATATTGACAGAAATTGTGATTTTAATGATAATTAAACATATTTATAAATCTAATTAATTAATAATGCTCTTAAAATTGAATTATATTCTATATATTCCATATTTTGTATGTTTGTGTATGTATGTATATATATGTATATAACAACATAATTAAACATAATGATAAATATAATTAACCCTAAAGTTAAAATAGAATTATATTCTATATATTCCATATTTTGTATGTGTATTATATTTAAGTGTGTTCTTTTTAATAATCTTATATATTGACAGAAATTATAGATACAGTAATTATATTTCATATAGATTATTTCTTATTATATAATAATTATAGAGAAAGTGGTCTTTGGAAGCAAATTTGCTATTTTTAGAAGCACACACAAGTTTTCAACCACATTAGGAGCCATTCTGGCCTTGTTATATAAATATACAGTGGGTACGGAAAGTATTCAGACCCCCTTAAATTTTTCACTCTTTGTTATATTGCAGCCATTTGCTAAAATCATTTAAGTTAATTTTTTTTCCTCATTAATGTACACACAGCACCCCATATTGACAGAAAAACACAGAATTGTTGACATCTTTGCAGATTTATTAAAAAAGAAAAACTGAAAAATGCTCAGTATTTAGTAGAAGCACCCATTTGATCTAATACAGCCATGAGTCTTTTTGGGAAAGATGCAACAAGTTATTCACACCTGGATTTGGGGATCCTCCGCCATTCCTCCTTGCAGACATTAATGAGGAAAAAAAATTAACTTAAATGATTTTAGCAAATGGCTGCAATATAACAAAGAGTGAAAAATTTAAGGGGGTCTGAATACTTTCCGTACCCACTGTATATAACGTGAAATTACTAACAATAATTCAATTCTAAATATTATTTAATTTAGAAATAGATTAATAATAGCTAAAAATAATCATTAAGACAATTATGAATAATTAACATGATTAAAATAGTTTAAATAGTTCATATTTTTATTTATATGTTTTCATTCTAATAATATTATATAGTGTCTGAAATAATAAATCAAATATTTCTTATTAAGTGATAAACTCTGTGTTTTTAGAAGCACAGGAAAGTTCCCAAGCACATTAGCATTCATTTTTCTTATTATATTAATGGTGCATTATGTGAAAAGGTATTCCCATGACAAATGCAGAGCGGCAAACACCGCATTTATATCTTAAATTACAAAAAAATAACCCGTTACTTTATTTGTAGGGTAATCACCTCTATTCTTGCTTTAAAAATGTTAAAGAATAAATCTAAAATAAACATTTAAATATTCTAAACAAAATAATAATACAGCTTAGGTGATCTATGATGGAATCCAACATGGATAATGTGTTCAAAATAACAAGGAACAAAGCCGAAGTGCACGAGTATGACGAAGCGTGCTGCCACACAGCTGTTTTCATAAATGACGTCACAGCAAGGAGCGTCACGCTCTCCTTCTTCTGGGAGGATGTGAGACGCTTCAGGGCAGGCAGTCGTGCTCTCGGTCTCTCCATGGAGACGCGTTTAGAGTGGATGTGACAGCGCAGCCGCAGACCCTCCACCGCTGCACTGCAGCTGTCACACGATGTTCTGTTCAGCCCAGTCTGCAGACACACACCAACCTCCACACACAAACATTTGGCTGAGGAGGTCAGATGAGGACAAGGGAACGCAACAGCTACTTTTAGCACTAGCACAGCTACTGAATACAAAGACCAGGGAGCCAGCGGATACAAATGCAACTATTATTTCACATATCTTCTGTATGCAACTGTATTATTTTACATAATATATCTTTGATATATTACCTATAAATACATGTCTGTGTTAGTGCATGCATCATTATAATTACTTTATTCATAAATATACATATGTATATATGCCTCAATTAAATACTGTAGGCAGCACACTGTTTCACTGAAAAAGACAGTATTTGTTGAGTCAATACGAAATGACTTTGTACAGTAACTCAAGGTCGTAAAACAGGTTATATTTTGACTTAATGGCCGTTGTATGTTAAACTGGTCTGTCTGGATGACTTCGTTTCGATGAATGTGACCCATTTCTTTTTGCCAATTAATATCACTACACTTTTTTTATGAACAAACCTGATTTTTACTTTTTTATCATTTTCTAAAGGAATCTTGCCTATATGAAAGTCCATATGGTTCTAAACTAAGACATTTCAACTAATCCTCACTCCAGATGAAACTTTACTCCAAAGCGTAACATGCATAATAGACTGACTGTCTCTCTGTGAGCATTTGTCTAAAGCAGCCATCCATAATAAGCCTGCCTGCTGTGTCCAGTGATGGCTGAGTATTGTTGCTGTGCTTTGTGTGATAACATGTGAGGTGGCTGATGGAAATCGGTTTGAGTCGTGCAGTGAGTCAGCTGCCTTGAGACAGTTTTCTTCACGCTCGCATCAACGGACAATGGAGTTGTGGTATTCTCTTTGACAACGGACATAAAGGCTGAATCTGGTTAATATTCTGAAGACTTCTGAATGCTACATAATGGTACAAGTGACAGTGCATTTCACAAGTGAAACCAGTAGTTTTTGTGGGACTAATACAAATATTATCCCTAGCATGTTTCATGTCCTTCACTTTGACAAATCATTTGCCTTAAAGTCCCCCTGTGGTGAAAATCAAGTTTTTTATGTTGTTTATTTGTCTATGTGTTGTTTTTAATATGCTTTTAGACAAACCATGTGCCAATCCATTTATCAACACCATTGCTGAGTATTTTCTCCTTAAAACTGTAGTTTCCCAAAGGCAGTCACAGAAACGCGGTTTGAAACTTTGTTTTGCTACTTCACAAAACTCAATAACCAGTCTCGTCAAGGGATCCTATCCTTAGCATATCATTAACTGTGCTGCAAAGCAGAGGGTCTAGTGAGAAGGCAGCCAGGTTAATCCGGTAACAGTTATATTTTTTTCTGTAGATGTTTTGCCATCTTCACGATGTCATGTGCTGTTAGCACTTATTGATTTGTATTTAGAACCGCTAACTTGAATAATAACCCGCGGCAGCAGTGTAAAAGTAGCCCGGAGTCAGACGCACCTCTCCTGCATTGACATCCGCACATGGCTCATGGCTGGCTACTGTGTGACTGAGTGGAGGCGGGGCTAATTTGCGTATTCATAGATCCGCGTATAGTAAATGAGGCAAGGGTGTAGAGTTGCATTCAAGCTATTTTAAGGCATGAGAAAATTATTTTCACAAGAAAAAATTTTTAAATATGTCATTTTTATGATCAAAGATGAGTTTTAAAGGATACATTTTTTGACTACAGGGGGACTTTAAAAAAAAAAAAGTCTTGTTATATTTTCTTAAAGGGATAGTTCACCCAAAAACAAAGATTCATTCACTTGCTTTCATGTCAGGTTCAAAACCTATACAGTGACCAATGCTGTCTCTATCGATTCTATTGAATGGAAAGAGCAACTTGGACATTCTGCTAAATTTCTTCTTTTGTGTTTCACAGAAGAAAGTCAAACGGGTTTGGAACGACATGGAGGTGAGCAAATTTTGACAGAACTTTCATTTCTATTTTGGCTTAATCTTCTGTTATGCCAAATTTACACTGCAAACTTCTGAAGTGGCTTTTATTTGTCTTTACACAGACTATTTAATGCTGCTCAGAGTTGGAATGAATGCATTTACACTGCAATTACGACTGTATACTTCGATATTAGGGGCTGAGGTGGGTTTGAACAGGCATAATTTAGTCTGGCTTTTATGCGTCATTGCATCTTTACATTGAATTTTGAGCAGTCACTGAGCAGCCTTAACTCATCTGTGTAAAGATGTCTTTTGGAGCAATGTTAACTTATAGAAAGTGCTTTTCTTTTCCAGTACCCAAAACTCCTCCTTTATTTGTCTTTCCTCACGTGTGATTCATTGCCAATTGCAGAAACATATCCATATGGTGAGCTTTAAAAAGCTGCCCAGCCTTCATTAGTCACAAGCAGCCCATGTATAAATCTCATGAAGTGCTGGCAAACGGCCCCTACACCAGTGCATGATGTCGAGGTGTCAACTGCTCACCAATGGCTCAAACTAATAAAACACCAGCCACAATTTAGCATGTCAGGAGATTAAAGGAGAACTTCAACTCCTTTTATCACTGTAAGGAAGGAATAAACAGTGTGTGGTAAATGGATGGATATGGGTAAATCTACAATTGACACTTCGCAAAGACCCGCCCCCCTAAGTTACTGTTGCTATATCCGACAAGTCATGCCGCTCTCACACTACACATGTTCGCATGCAGTGGAAAATACATCGCAGAGCAAACAGAACACTGACAACACGCCAACAGACAAGACTGCAAGCAGGTTACTTCTGGTATGAAACAAAGTCTTATCTTTCTAATTTTGTCATTTTTTTAAGAAATTCAAACAGTAAATACCAATTTGTGGCTCTTTAATGTGTCGTAACAGATCACTGTATTGCCTCAGTTCAAGCGGCACTTGAACCAATCCTCTTTTAATATTTACTTCAAGCACAAAATAAACATGAATGAACATCAGAAGCTATTTTATTTCAATCGCGGAAAGATGTCAATACACACCATTTTTCACGTTTTAAAGGGGTCATATGATGCGATTTCATTTTTTCCTTTCTCTTTGGAGTGTTACAAGCTCTTAGTGCATAAAGAACATCTGTAAAGTTGCAAAGACTAAAGTCTCAAATCCAAAGAGATATTCTTTATAAAAGTTAAGAGTCAGCCACGCCTACCTAAAACAGCTCGTTCTAACACACCCCCACATATCTACGTCAAAGGCTCTGTGTGATTCGTTGTGAAAGCTTGGCCTTCCAAAAGAGGACGATATCACTTCGTCATGCCTGGAGCTAACACATTTCATTACACCAAATACACAATGTTCTTTTTAGCAACATCATATGACCCCTTTAAGTCCACCCACGTTAATCTACTCTCCTGTCTGGTTTGTTTGTTGGACAAAAATGGCAGATTTGTGGTCTCTGTGAAGGGTCAATTAGGGAATTTTTGACTTCTTGAAATCTTGGGGAAAATAATTGCTTCATGTTAAAACATTAATCTGATCAGGACCTTGATCAATGTTCAAGTGGATTTCGGTATAATGTGGGATTCTAAATAACTAACATTGTGTGTAATGGCCACAATGTATGATGATAATGACATTTTTCACCTTTTGGAGAAAAAGCTGAACAAGCTGTAAACTTGCTAACATAATCAGTTTCTTAGCAGTCATTTATATAAATTGTGAAATGACTTCTGAATTAAAATTGGTAATAACACCTACATGTAAAAACATTTAAGTTAATAATATTTCTGATCTTCAAATGGTCACTCCGCTGGATGTACTACCCTGTCACTTCTTATTTCCATCATAATCAAATAAAAACTTTTTGGGGAGAAAAAATGAATGCTGCTGGATATGGATATTTAGGTCAATAATTCTTTGTTATTTAAAAAATTATTTTTATTCTTAAATGCCAAAATGAACTCAAAATATGAATTTAGATCTTAAGTTAAAATAGACTTTTCTTGATTATAACTTTAAAAACACACAATATAAAAAGTCTATAATTAACTTATCCTCTAAAATGGAAATTAATTTTTGTTTTTTAACGTTTTTTTTTTCCATTCTTTTTTTCCCCATTCAAACAAATGTACCCCAATCAAAGAAACACCCATAAATGGTGGCAATATCCTCTCTTTCAGGAAAGCATGACTCTATGTTTGGATACATCCCTAAAGTCACACATATTTTATTAACCCCAGACGGAAGGAAAAGTCAGCCTGAGCAAGAGGCGAGAATCCTAATCCCCTCTAAAAAGCAATAAAACAATGTATTTATTGAGTAAATACAGTTCTTAACTCAATAACCCACTGGAGCCTGCTAATATGCATAGTTAATATGCAGTGTGAGAAAGTGTTTTCTCTTAACAAATTCACGGTGGTCAAGTAAAAGCTTAATTCTGGACATTAAATTAGTAAACTCGTTGCTAATGCGGCCCTCATACATCCTACACAATCAGTTTTTGCATATAATGCAAAGTGTTATGCATTTCTGCATACACAACAACAAAAATATGCATCAAAATATCTCAGAGCGGACAGTTTTGCTCAACAAGATTTCCTCCGTCAGGAGGGAAGTGTGTGTGAACACAGGAAGACTAACTGGTGGTTTGCTCTGCACTCAGATAACAAGGAAAAAACTGAGGGAGAGCCGACAAAGTCCATCAAGGACAATTCAACGGATGGACCTGGCGTCTGCAATTACAAATATAACTAAAAGGCAGTTGCCTGATAACCATGTTTGTGCCTGTGTCATGACTTTATTTTAAGCTATGATGATTCATATCACACAGTAAAACCTGTTTAGCTCTTGGGGAAGGATTAACTTGAGTGAATAGTGTAAGAACACCTGGGACTCCTCAAAAGAAACTGAACGATTCAATCCATTGGCTTGCTCGGAGGGCTGACATTGAAATTTAAATCACTATTCAACTGTAAAGTTGTGAGGACTGTGCAGAAATTTTCCAGTACTACCATACTCCTCCATGGCAACTAATGTGGGAGTGTAAAATGCTTTAAGACTTCCTATTTTCAGTGCTGACAGACATTAATCTTAGGTTTGCTTAGATGTGATGAAATACTCTGAGATGAGAAATGCTGAATGTTGTATAGTCTGGACTGTGTGTTGCTCTTGAACAAGTTTCTCCATGTTTGGTCTACCTTATAAAGTAGTCTAGTCACAATGGAAGGCCATTTTCACTAATTTATATTTTGCAAGGTGACCTTATAGCTTTGAACTGATACTTTATATATTGTAATAAATTCAAATTGTGAGAGATAAAAGCTCAATTACAGGAAAATGGCCAATTTGAAAGAAATGTGCAAGATATACAGTTACATGTCTTGCACCAATACTTTTTTGTATTTGCATTTTCATATCTCACAATGTACCTTTGTATTTTGCAATATGACATTATGGGCCAGTTTTACTAACAGCTTGCGTCAGCGCAAACAGTCTTTTGGCATTAAAATTGTACTGTCAGGTTTTACCTAGCGGCAACCTTCCGGTCTCTCTCGTGAAACCAACACGGAAGTGACTAAAACTGCAATTCATCGACTGAACGCTAGAGGCTGGCTGCAAATGGGAGTCAGTCCCATAGACTCCCCATGTTAAAATGCCCAACTTTACAGCAAAAAAAAAACATGTTTACAGCCAGGTACAAAAAGTGGTTTTGGTCTATATAGCTAATTTTGCCCTTCACGACAAGCTGTCACCACCGTCGAGCTAGGTGGGCGTGGTTTCAGCAACCAGCTTCCGCCTCTTTGCCCATTTTCGATTTTCCGGGAGTGACGCGCTGCCAAGATGGCGACGGCCGGCTCCGCCTACTTTAGGCTTCAAAAACGCTCTTCGGAAAACTACGGGTGACGTCATGTTTTTATTCAGCCTATGGGTTTTACTAAAGACGCGCAGTGATGAATTAGCGCTTAAAAGGCGTGGACACAGTTATTGTTGCGCTTGACCTTATTGAATATGCTCATCAAATTACTGGCATTTGCACCATTATTTACAACCCAAAAAAGCATTTCTTAAACTATTTTGCACTTGAAAAGGCTGCAATTATTGTTGCTAGCAGGAAGGCACCGCAGAGAAGGGTAGAAGGGAGACAATTTTTCCACACATATTAATTTATTTTGAATGCCAGAAGAACACATTATCTGAATATATCATTTGCCAAGACATGTTATTTTTAATTTGCTTCAGGAAATAAAAGACAACTTGGAACCCTCAACTAGGAGTCACGCAATACCAGGTCTATCAAAGATTCTAGCAAACCTTCATTTTTTGTCCTCCGGTTCTATTCAACGTACCGTGGCTTCTTTATTTCTTTATTTGCGAATACACTAATTTGCGCTACGCTTGGTATATTGTGTTGGTCGATATGTAAATGAGATGTTGCATCTGTGTTCTTTAATTTGCGCATTGTTAGTAAATTACCCGCAGAAATTTCCCCTCTCATGGCGCA